GAGGGAGAAACCCTCTGTGGAAAGAGCAAATGGGTTTCTTTAGGAAATAAAAAGGAGTTCCTAGGAGAGTAAATGGGAGATAAGAAAGTTTGTGATATTGTTTATTCATGCAGGTGTGAGTGGTTCTTCCATCTTCTTCCTGACTGTGTAACTCCCCTGAAGAGGGGATTCGTGGCAGGCTGGTTCTTGGTCTCCTTCCTGGGAGTGAAAGCCTCCCGGAAGAGGGAATTTATGGTAGCATCGTTTTCCAGAAGTTTCTGCTTTTAGTCAGATAAGAGAAGCTCTGAGGAGGCTTCTCTCTGCATCTGTTGAATTCCAAGCATTCAGCTTGAACTAATCTTCATACCAATTCTGGGGTTCTGAGTGGATCCTCACAAGTCCTAACCCCAAGGAGCCTTTGTTAGGAAGACACCTTGTCCACTTTAACAAGAGAGAGGAAGACAGTTATAAACAGGTACTGGCGTAGATGGGTGTGTGGTTCGGTGGCAAGAAGAGGAGAGAGTTTCTGTCTGCAGTCCGTGGCTGAGGGAAGTCGGATTGCAGGAGGCTGAGGTGAGAGGGAGCATCCGCTAACAGTCTAATACAGCAAACCCAGTAGGCTAACGTGGCAGGGTTGTCAGGCGGTGCCATCCCATCGTTAAATCTTCAGCAAAATGCTCTTGCTGTGGCACGGGTTCTGAGAGGGAAGACAGTTGAATTCAGTTGCCTGGGATTTGGGGAGAGAGAGAGGGCTGAGTTTGTTAAGCACTTTACAGGGAGTGTGGCGCTTGACTGAGCCCTTGGCGATGTGTCAGAGTTGTGTGGCCTCGATAAATTGATGGGGGCAGCAAAGGTGAAGCAAACCTTAATGTGGTGACCAAAGCTTGGAAGGCCATTTCTTCCCATTGCCGATAATGGCTTTCCATAGCCCTTCTCCGCCCAGACCTGCAAAGAAGTACATTGGAATTTTGCAGATGAGAAAATGGGATTTGAGGTGAACTAACTTGCTCATGTGCTCACAGCTAATTTGGTCAGAAGTGAAATTGGTAGCCAGGCCCAACTTTCTGTACTTTGCATCTCACCATGGTGTTTGTCATGTTGTATGGCTACTTAACTCACAAATGGTACAATTGTAGATTCTTTAAATGCCAAGGATTGAACAGTTAAGTGACAGAATGGATACTTTTCTGTGAGTTTTGGGAAGATAATGGGAGAGAGCTTTTTAACTCTGATTAATAGATTTGTAGGAGACTGGATTTCTAAGACGTCAGCCCTAAATTACTCAAAATGTTGTTTGTATTTTAAGTAAAAGATATTTTAGAACTCGAGAAAGAGATAGACTTTCAGAGGTCCAAAGAAATCACATATTCTGCACAGAGCCTTTTATAAGGCGTGTTTCGGTGAGTCATTCACTGGTTTTCTCTTTTTGATTTTTTCACAGATTCCAAATGGAAATGGATCGGAACTTATTTTTAACACAGTGCATGTAAAAGACGCAGGCTTTTATGTCTGTCGAGTTAATAATAATTTCACCTTTGAATTCAGCCAGTGGTCACAACTGGATGTTTGTGATGTCACAGAAGTAACAGAAAGTTTCCAAGGTAAGTGATTAAATTGCATGTTGGGAAGGGAATTGTCTTATTTTAAATGTTTACTTCTAAATAATTTCAAAGTTTCCAACTATTACCCAGAGCCCACCTATAAGGTCAGCACTTGTTAAAATTTTATCCCGTGTGCTTTGATTCTCTTTCTCTATGGAGAAACACAGACACGCGCACTCACGCACACACGCATGCACGCACGCACACACAGATGCCTTAGAATGACACAGAATCCTCAGTCTGGCCCTGCCAGTACCTCTTCAAACTTACCTTCTTTCATGGATTTGAATGTTGTAGTCTCTGGTTTTGGAAGAGAAAAAAAATCTAATATAGTCCTATTCACTTTTTAATTCTTTCCTACCCTGTGCGTTTTCCAAAACTACTATATTACTCTTAAAAAATTGTTCTGTGGAATAAAACTCTAGAGTTGATGTTGACATGAAAAGGCATATAGTGTATTATTTGCTGCAATCAAGCCTTTCAGCAAACTATATTTTTACTCTTTGTCATTTACCTTTTTAGTCCAACAACTAGTATTGATCAAGAAAAGAAAAACCAGTCTGCTCTAAAGAGTAGCTGTCGGATACTATTTTGTTTATTCACACACACAGTCAAGGTCATATCCTTTGTCATTTTTGCCGAACAAAAAGAATGGGAGGGAAACAGGCTTTTTGTTACTAGTCTGTCTTCCATTCTTCTCTCTCAATTTAGCTTTTCCTACACCTAGATCAATAAACCATCTCCAAAAATACTCATGATTTATTAGGAGAGTTATTTACATCTTTCTAGAATATTTCTGTGCATGTAATGAACTTTAATATGTTTATAAATCTTATTCAACAAATATTATTGATCACCTGCAACGTGTGAGACACTGTTTTATGATAGAGACCTGGTGTCACATAACATGGACAGGCCCTCTGTCCTCAAGGAACTTAAGGAGTAACAAGTGAATGTCCATAAATAATGCACGCTGATACCTGCTTTGAGAAGAAATGCTAGTGGTAACCCATCCATATTTATTCAGTGCCAATAACAGTATGCCTTATTGTAATAAGTCGAATTCACTCAAACAATATAGAGCTTTCTGGTTGTGCGTGAATATCACTCAAGATGTTAATAAGTTGTTTGCTCCCACCAAAAAGATTGTAGCCAAACACGTTCGGAAACCACTTTAACTGTTTTCCCCTCTTACATACACAGTACACACTAATACTTTGAAAGCTCTGAGAAGTCCTGCAACTAAAAAACTCTGTTTAACTTTGTTTAAACCCAGAATTTTCTAAACTTATTTATCCACAGCATTCTTTTATCCATAGAACATCTCTTAATATTTCTAGAAGTGCTAAAGTTTTATGAAACAGTTTGGGAGATGCTATCGAAGATTATTTAAAAATGAAGGTTGAACTTGAAAACACTTTTTTTAATTAAAGGGGAAAATCTTATTTTTAACCTAGAGATTTTATTTATGCTTAATAATATTTTTCTTTTAATTTAAGGAAGTTTGGATGGTGTCTCTGATTCCAGGTTGCAAATCTGTGTTGAACCAAGGCCCCAAAAGCTGATGCCGGGCAGCACGTTGGTCTTGCAGTGTGTGGCCGTCGGAAGCCCTATTCCTCATTACCAGTGGTTCAAAAATGAATCACCGTTGACACACGAGACAAAAAAGCTATACATGGTAAGCTCTTGGATTCAGGGGGTATTTTTGTATTAATATGTAAAATAAATAGTGTAATTGAAAATTAGGGTAAATATTAGAATTCCTGTTCTTCGGGGTTTTTTCATGTTTTCAGAATGTTTGTTTCAAGTCCCTTGTTATTTCATATTGTTTCTTATATTTATCTTATATTCTTATATAGTACTAGAATACAGTAATACCACATGTAAGGGCTTATACTAAAATGTCAAATAGTATTGTGGGAAACTCATTATTGGAATTATTATATCATTTACTTGCTAATATTTAACCTAATGAATGGAAATAATCTAAAAATGTCTAATGCCTTCTGAAACTTTGTTTCATAGTTTTTGTAAAGTACAAAATAACTTTCTTTCCAAATGGATTTAAATTAAAGATGAAGAGGAACTATGTGTGTGTTCTGATATTCTTATAGGTGCCTTATGTGGATCTGGAACATCAGGGCACCTATTGGTGTCATGTATATAATGATCGAGACAGTCGAGATAGCAAGAAGGTAGACATCATCATAGGTAAGCAGCATTGCTCACTGTTCTGACAGGTGGTGTATAATGTAAGCTATATAAAATGAAACGTTTAAGCAAAGGAAATCCTACTGCTTTTTACCTCATTAATTTAATGATTGTTAAGTATCAGGAGTTATACTGTTTATAGAATTTTGAGAGAATACATACTAAATTCATAATCTAGGTTCATATTCCAAGAGTGGAAAAAAAACAAAAGTAGTTTTTTATTTAGACCTTTTTTATTATTTTTAAATTTTATAGTTTATTTTAAACACTTATGGCAAAAATGAATTAAAACTTTACTTATAAAGAACTTGATTTAGTGGGAAAAGATTTTTAATAAAACATTTTTAAAAAACAAATATAAACATATGAAGGAAAGAATGATGATTAATCAACAATCCCCATTATGAAGTGCCTAATTTGGGAGTTTGTTCTAGTTAAGCTTAATGCCTTTATAGTTGTGTTGTTAATAGTAGATGTTGATGCATATGTTGCTTTGCCAACATATTTCTGTGCTATTTATCTCTATTCATTTGATGGCTGCCCTTCCTAAGATCATGAATTACATTACATTCACATTTGTTTTCTCTGGAACAAGGAAGAACACATGAGGCAGTGGAGTGCACTGAAGGTAGTGTAATCCTTTGGTTGGAAACCAGATATATCCTGCATGCTGGCTCCTCTTGGGATCGGTGGAGTGCTCTAGCCTACTGAGTGCAGTGATGGAAAAAATACGAGCTCTAAGAAATAGTTTCAATCTAAGGATAGTGTATCTTTGTCTTTGGGAGTTTGTAAATTGCCACAGACACTGTTAAATTGACACACATGAAAATAACTAATTTTCAGTTGCTTTTCTATAGCATATAATGATAAAATTTTTGCATAACACCTTATGAATAGTGAACATTTGCAATTAATTTGTAATACACATTTTTATTTTCATAAGATCTGTAAAAAAGATAAGATGGCTGTACTGTCACGGAAAGTTGTTTTGATTATTTTATCTATCCTTTCACCATGATAATGTGCCTCGAGTGTGAATGTAGTTGCTATAAAACTTTCAAGGCAGGAGATTTATTTAACACATGTTTTATCAAATATTAAATGTCGTTTTCTATAAAATTGATAAGGCCCAGTTTTGAAGCTACAAATCTTTAGATCACCATGTCACCTTTATCATAATGTATAAAGAGAACTGAAAATCGATTTCAGCAGAAGCTTCTAATTTGTTTTAATTAAAGCGTTGTACACAGTTGTAATGAGTAAATTTTAAAATTTAAGAGTATGACATCACACTATTTTGCAAAATTAAGTTTGTCGATAGCAAAGTATTTTTTCAATTTCTGCCTCCTTAAACTACTGTATATATAACCTTAGGCTCTACTTGGATGAAGTAAGAAAATAATGTTAAATCTTACGTTTCCTGATTTTTCTATCCTTCCTATCACTTTGAAATACTGTAATCACTGTTTTCATCCCAATACATAACTGTGAATGAGAGTCCCTAGCGTAAGAGAATTCCAGTCCCAGGGTCTGCAGGCCCTACATGAGGGGAGCTGTGTGAAGAAATCCTAACCAAACCCCTCTTTCTTCTTTTACTCCTTTTTTGCCTAATTGCATGATTTTTAAAACTTCCTAACATTGGAGACCTCTAAGAATAAATAAACTAACGTTGCTCTCCTGTTGGGCTTCAGGGTGATGCCTGTAAGTCATCGCCTTGCTGTGATGCTTCTTTGCATGCAAGAGGCTCCCTGTAATGTTCACAGTAACAAACACACCATTAAATAATGATATTCAAATAAATCTGTTCAGAACACTTAGAGATGAAAATCCAGCTATGAAACCACTCTAGAAATTTCAGATGGAAAAATGAGATCCAACTTTTCTTTATAAAAAAGTCTACAAAGTTGAGACATTTTGTAATTGGTGGTCGACACATTCATGAACAGTGCCCTACATCGTATATCTTTTTTTACCTATGAAGCATGATGTTATCCATTTCATTTTATGTATTTTGTTAAGAGATACTTTATCAGGACAAAGTGTGGATTGAATAGGTGAAGCTCAGGAGATTTGTTAGGGCAGTGAAAGTATTCTGTATGACCACTGTAATGGAGAATACACGTATGCAAGTTTTAAAAAATCATTTAGTAGGAGGTTAGAGGAGGATGGATCCCAGGATGGAATGCAGAACACGACAAAAGAATCTAAATGTATTACAAATGGGTAAAGCAGCCTTGCTGAAAAGGAGAAGGAAGAACAGGGCGCTGACCTAAGCAATCGGAAATTAGGT